CAGAACCCAAAGCAGGCTCTAGGCTCAGAACTGACACCACAGAGCCCAACTTGGGGCTCGAACTCACGGACCGTGAGATCATGACCTAAGCCGAAGTCGGACACTTAACTGATTGAGCCACCCAGGCACCCCTCTGTTGTTTTCCTTTACTTTTTCTGGGTTTCTCATCTTGCTTAAGAAGACTGCCACACCCCCAAGGTTATACAAATATTCTCTCATATTTTCTTCTAATGTTTTATTATTTTATTTTATTCTAATTTAGATTTGTTTGCAAAGCACCATATCCCAGACACAGCATGGGACACGTACAAATACCCTGGCTTACACTTGGAGTTTCCTATGCAGGTCGGGAAGCTATAGGGGAGCCACTTTTGTCTTCAAACATTTCCTATATAGCTGATGAAAAAGAAATGTTTATACCACTAAATATGATTAGTCCAGCAGCTAGCCTAGCATTTGATATTTTGTTAACAGGAAGTAGAAAAATATTAACCATTTGGTGAAATGAAATCAGATGAGGATTTTTAAACTATGACTTTTATCTGATGGTAGTTGAAAAGTGTGGCAGTTCTGAAAGCATTCTAGTTTCTTTCCAGGTGATAACAAGACCCAGGGATGAGTGCTGAGAAGAGCTGCAAATAATTGCCTAAATTTAAATACCAGAGAAAGCCATTTGAGGGGTTTTATATTTCTTGGCCAACGCTGGCTTTCTTTGCTTCTTCGCATGGGGTCCTCCCTCAAAAGCAATAGACTTTTTAACAGCGAAGTTGGATGGAGAAAGTGTGGTTGCTAAACTAAACTGTCACTGTCCCCACTACCCAGACTCTTGCAATATACTGGGTCTGCCTTTGCACTTGCCCAACAAGAACCAACATAAACCATCCACTTTGACTGAAACAGTCATCTGGAGCCAATCTTGAAGAATCATGGAGTTTATGCTTAATTTATGAAGCTGTGGAGAGCTGCGCTAAGTATCTGAGGCAGTTTCACCCTGGTCCCCTTCGGGTAGGTGAATCCAGGCGGCCACAAACGGGATGTGCGCACTAGATATAGGACTTCATTGAAGTCCTCGGGCCGGGAGGTGGGGGAGGGGACTGTTTCCGCTCGCCCCCTGCTGGCCGAGTAAGCTCGCATCACGAAGGGAGCCGCATTATTCTTTGCAGCTGCCAAAGAAGGTGCCCATGGACCCAGAAATTGCTGCCGGCCATGAGCAGGGAAAGTTCATTTTGGGAACAGATAAAACATTTAAACTTTCCTTAGCTCATTTTTCGACATTTTGTAGTAGATAAGTCAACAGCCTACTGACCCCCCCCCCCACCCCCAAAGTTTCCCACTTGAGGAGGGAAAAGAGATAGTTTGGTTGGGCTTTTCTTTACAGTCACTTAAAATCCTTTCTTGAAGATGTTTTTTCCCCTTAATGATCAGAGGGAAGCCATGTTTAGTCAGAGAACCAACAGCTGGACCGGAGCACGTCGTGCCTGGAACTCTGCACCAGATTATTTCTCTTTGCTTTGTTCCTTCAGAGAAGATGGCTGCCACAGGCTCCTCTTTTGCTGCCTGGCTAAGTTGGCAAGGTTAGTCAAACCCCCTGTACTGCAGAGTGTCTGAGTTAATGATTTCTCTAACTGGGGTAAAAGCCACATGACACTGCAAAACTGCATTTTATTCTATTTTTGAAAACTAGTCAGCTTTTGCACACTGATGACAAAGCTTAATGTTGTGTCACTAGACTATCTAGAGCTCTTGTATGTATTATGTTCACATTGCTGCAAGGAGCAATAGATACCTTCCCTTTTTGATGGCACTATGATTTTTCTGATAACCCTGAAAGACAAAAGAAGAGTGATCCAAAGAGACAAAATAGCATTTGGGTAAGGTTTAAGTCAAATTGGATCTCCGATCTGAGGGCCTTTTTTTTCATGGTTTTGAAGATTATTTACTGATGTGGGAAAATGTGCTTAATATATTTCAGAAAGCAACCATGTACAACATGGTCCCCGGTTATGTGTATTTTGTGTCTATAAAGATGATAGCAAGGAAATATTTTCTGCAAGTGATGGAATGTACTTTCATTGTGTGTTTCCCCCAAATGTCTATAATTTGCCTGTTGCACTTTTACAATCAGAAAATATAAGTGCCTTTTAAAAGAATGTTTGTTTGTTTGTTTGTTTGTTTGTTTAGAGAGTGTGGGCAGAGAGAGAGAGAGAGAGACAGGGAGAGAGAGAGGGAGAGAGTCCCAAGCAGGCTCTGTGCTGTTAGTGCAGAGCCCAATATGGGGCTCAATCTCGTGAACTGGAAGATCATGACCTGAACCGAGGTTAAGAGTTGGATGCTGACTGAACCACTGAGGCACCCCTAAATGCCTTTTGTATTTTATTTTATTTTATTTTATTTTATTTTATTTTATTTATTTAAATGTTTATTTTTGAGAGAGAGTGAGCAGGAGAGGGGCAGAGAGAGGGGGGACAGAGGATCCCAAGAGGACTCTGTGCTGACAGCAGAGAGCCACATGTGGGGTTCAAACTCACAAACTGCCAGATCATGACCTGAGCCGAAGTCGGACACTTAGCCAACTGAGCCACCCAGGTGCCCCTATTTCTTGTCGTTTTGATGATAGCCAATCTAACCAGTGTGAGGTGATATTATGGTTTTGATTTGTATTTCCCTAAATTTAGTGATTCTGAACAACTTCTGAACAACTTGGCCATCTGATGTCTTCTTTGGAAAAATGTCTCTTTAGATCTTCTGCCCATTTTTAAATTGGGTTGTTGGGCTTTTTTTTTATTTTTGCTTTTTTTTTCCCCTTTCACCTTTAGGGTCAGATCCATAACAATATCAGTAAGACTGATGTCAAGGGGCTCACCATATATGTTTTCTTTTAGGAATTTTATGTTTTCAAATCTTACATTCTTTAATCCATTTTGAGTTCATTTTTGTATATAGTGTAAGATAATGGTCTAGTTTCATTTTTTTGTATGTGAATGTCCAGTTTTCCCAGCACCATTTATTGAAGAGAACATCTTCTTTCCATTGTGTATTTTTGGCTTCTTTATTGTAAATTAATTGTCTGTATATGTGTGGGTTTATTTCTGGGCTCTCAATTCTGTTCCATTGATCTGTGTATCAGTTTTTATGCCACTACCATACTGTTTTGATTACTATAGCTTTGTAATATAGCTTGAAGTCAGAGAGCAGGATACCTCCAGCTTTGTTCTTTCTCCAGATTGCTTTGGGTATTTAGATCTTTTGTGGTTTCCTACAAATTTTAGAATTATTTGTTCAACTTCTGTGAAAAATGCCATTGGAATTTTTATAGGAACCACATTGAATTGTAGTATGGACATTTTAACAATATTCTTCCAATCCATGAGCACAGAATATCTTTCCAATTATTTGTGTCATCTTCAGTTTCCTTCATCAGTATCTCATAATTTTCAGTGTATAGGTCTTTTACCTCCTTGGTTAAATTTATTACTAGGTATTTTATTCTTTTTGATATGGTTGTAAGTGGGATTGTTTTCTTAATTTCTCTTTCTGATAATTTATCATTATAAGTGTATAGAAATGCTACTGATTTCTGTAAGTTGATTTTTTCTCCTGCAACTTTACTGAATTCATTTATTAGTTCTAATAAATGGAGTCTTTAGGGTTTTATTGTATTAAGTATCATGTCTTCTGCAAATAATAACAGCTTTACTTATTTCTTTCCAATATAGATGCCTTTATTTCTTCTCCTTGCCTAATTTCTGTGACTACATCTTCCAGTATTGTGTTGAATAAAAGTGACGAGACTGGGATTGTTGTCTTATTCCTGATCTTAGAGGAAAAGCTTTCAGCTTTTCACCATTGAGTACATTGTTAGCGGTGGGTTTGTCACACACAGCCTTTATTATGTTGAGGTATGTTTTCTCTATAGCAACTTGGGGGGGGGCGGTTATTGTAAATGGATGTTGAATTTTGTCAAAGTGCTCCTTCTGTATCTATTGAGATGATCATATGATTTTAATCCTTCATTTTGTTAATGTAGTATATTATATTGATTGATTTGCAGATGTTGAACCACCCTTAAAATCCCTGGAATAAATCCCACTTGATCACAATATATGCTTCTCTAAATGTGTTGTTGAATTCAGTTTACTGTTATTTTTGAGTATTTTTGCATCTGTTCATTAAGGATATTAGCCTGTACTTCTCTTTTGTGTGTGTGTGGTGTCCTTGTCTGGTTTTGCTATCAGGGTAATGCTGACCTCATAAAATGACTTTGGAAGCATTTCCTTCTCTTCAGTTTTTGGAAGAATTTGAAAATGATGTGTATTAAGGCTTTGAATGTTGGGTAGAATTCACCAGTGAACCAAGACTTTTGGTTGTTGGGAGATTTTTATTACTGAGCCCTTTAATACCCCTCACTTACTTACTCTTACTAGTAATCAAATCTTTTCAGATTTTCTATTTCTTCATGATTTAGTTTTGGAATACTGTATGTTTCCAGGAATTTATCCATTTCTTCTAGGTTGCTCAGTTTGTTGGCATATAATTATGATATTCCTTTGTCTTTCTGTGGTATCAGTTGTAGCTTTTCCTCTATAATTTCTGATTTTGTTTGAGCCCTCTTTTTTTCTTAGTCCAGCTAAAGGTTTGTCAATTTCGTTTATATTTTTAAAGAACTAGCTTTTAGTTTCATTGATCTGTTTTTTGTTTTGTTTTGTTTTTAGTATCTACTTTATTTATTTTTGCTTTTTATTTCTTTCCTTCTACTAAATTTGGGCTTTGTTTGTCTTTTCTAGTTCCTTAAGGTATAAGAAGTTAGATTGTTTATTTGAGATTTTCCTTTTTTCTTAATTTAGGCCTATGTTGCTATGAACTTCCCTCTTAGAACCACTTCTGCTGCATCCCACAGATTTTGGTATATCTGGGTTTTTTTTGTCTCTCTCTATATTTTTATTTCTTCTTTGATTTCTTCAGTGGCCCACTTGTTCAGTAGCATGTTGTTTAATCTCCATATTTTTGTGGTTTTTCTAGCGCTCTTCTTGTAACTTATTTTTAGTTTCATACCATTGTGTTTGGAAAAGACACTTTATAAAATTTCAGTCTTCTTCAATTTGTTGAGACTTGTTTTGTCATCTAACATGTGGTCTATCATAGAGAATATTCCATTTGTACTTGAGGAAAATGTGTAAATTGCTGCATTTGGATGGAATGTTCCATATATGTCTATTAAGTGCATTTGGTCTAATGTGTTGTTCAAGGTTGATCTTTCCTTATTAATCTATTCATTGATGTAAGTGGGGGTGTTTAAGTCCCCTACTATTATTGTATCATTGTCAATTTCTCCTTTTAGGTCCATTAATATGTGCTTTATATGTTTTGGTGCTCCTATTTTGGGTGTATATATATTTATAAATCTTATATCTTTTTTGCCAGATTGACCCCTTTATCATTATTTAATTTCCCTCTTTGTCTTTTATTGTAGTCTTTCTTTTTAAATATTTTAGTCATTTTATTTTTCTTTATTTAAAGTTTCTTTATTTTGAGAAAGAGCATGAGTGGGAAAGGGGCAGAGAGAGAAGGAAAGAGAGAGAATCCCAAGCAGGCTCCACACTGTAAGCCTGGAGCCCGATGTGAGTCTCAAACTCATGAACCATGAGATTATGACCTTGCTGACATCAAGCGTTGGATGCTTAACTGACTCAGCCATTCCTGTTATGTTTTTTTTTTTCATTTCCATTTGCATGGAATATCTTTCTCCATCCCTTCACTTTCAGTCTGTTTGTGTCCTCGCTTCTGAAGTCAGTCTCTTATAGGCACTATGTAGATGTGTCTTCTTTTACTAATCCACTCAGCCTTTTGATCAGAGAGTTTAGTTCATTTACATTTATTTTTTTTTAATTTTTTTTCAACGTTTTTTATTTATTTTTGGGACAGAGAGAGACAGAGCATGAACGGGGGAGGGGCAGAGAGAGAGGGAGACACAGAATCGGAAACAGGCTCCAGGCTCTGAGCCATCAGCCCAGAGCCTGATGCGGGGCTCGAACTCACGGACCGTGAGATCGTGACCTGGCTGAAGTCAGACGCTTAACCGACTGCGCCACCCAGGCGCCCCTAGTTCATTTACATTTAAAGTAATTATCGATTACTTTTGATCAGAGAGTTTAGTTCATTTACATTTAAAGTAATTATCGATAGGTGTGTACTTCTTGACACTTTGTTGTTTCCTGGCTTTTATTATAGTTCGCCTGTTCCTCCTCTTTATTTCTTCCCTTGTGGTTTGATGACTTTCTTTAGTGTTTTGTTTAGATTCCTTTCTCATTTTCTATTGTGTATTTCCATTTTGCTTTAGCTTTAGTTTTTGTTTTGTGGTTACTGTGAGGTTCACATATCTTATCCTATGTATATAACCGTGTATTTTTTTTTGACAGCAACTTAAATCTGACCACATTCCAAAATTCTATGTACTTACTCCCCCTACCATGTTTTATGTGTTTGATGTCACATTTAACATCTTTTCACTTTATGCATCTCTTAACTAATTATTGTAGTTTTAGTTAATTTTACCAGTTTTTTTCTTGTAACCTTC